AACCAAAGCTCAGTGTTCCATAAGCAATAACTCCCCCTTCTCTCCCTTCCTCCTAACCCTGGTAACCACTAATAAACTTTGGTCTCTATACATCTGCCCGTTCTTATCTTTTTATATAACTGTCTGGATTGGTATTCCTTCAGCAATACCAATTAATAAAAATGCATACCTTCATCTTACATAAACCTTTTCCCCAAAACTATATCTTAATATCAGGCAATAATGCAAGAAAATCATAAGCCTGTATTCTCTTCAAAATGCCTGATTTTCGTATCTCAGACATGACTATTCAATTTTACATACTCAAAATACACAGCTATGTATGTGTATCACACACTGCAAAACCCATTTGAGGATGCCTGAATGAAGTTTAGTGTAAAAGCCAAAGTTCTGGCAATGATTTACAATTCTCCATAAGACCTGCACGTTCACCCTTCCACTTGATCTCTTCTAACCCTACTTCTATCTCCCCTTCATTGGGTCCAACCACACTGGATGCCTTGTTCTTCCTGGAATGTCACGCACACTCCTTCCTTACATTGTTTGTACTGGATGTACCCTCCGTTGAGAAGGCTCTTCGCCCAGATATATGCACAGCTAACTTCCTCACTTTGAAGTCTTTACTCAAATGTCATTTTCTCAGTTAGGCCTACCTTGGGCCCATATTTAAGATTTTATCCTACCCACAGACACAGTCTCATTCCCCTTTACTTTGCTATATTTTTTCTTTTTCCATAGCATGTAACACTATCTGATAAATTATGCTGTGATTAGTTGCCATTTAGTTGATTGCGACTCGTGGTGATCCCACGTGTTACAGACTAGAACTGCTCCATAGGGTTTTCTTGGCTGTAATCTTTTTTTTTTTTAGATTGTATTTTAGTTTTACAGAGCAAACAAATTTCTCATTAAACAATTAATACACATATTGTTTTGTGACACTGGTTACCAACCCCATGTCAACATGTCAACACTCTCTCCTTCTCGACCTTGGGTTCTCTATTACCAGTTTTCCTGTCCCCTCTTGCCTTCTCGTCCTTACCCCTGGGCTGGTGTGCCCATTTAGTCTTATTTTGTTTTATGGGCCTGTCAGTCTTTAGCTGAAGGGTGAACCTCAGAAGTGACTTCATTACTGAGCGATAAGGGTGTCCAGGGGCCATACTCTCGGGATTTCTCCAGTTTCTATCAGACCAATAAGTCTGGTCTTTTTTTTTTTTTTGTGAGTTGGAATTTTGTTCTACATTTTTTTCCAGCTCTGTCCAGGACCCTCTATTGTGATCTCTGTCAGAGCAGTCGGTGGTGGCAGTCAGGCACCACCTAGTTGTGCTGGATTCAGTCTGGTGGAGGCTCTGGTAGTTGTGCTCCATTAGTCCTTTGGACTAATCTTTCCATTGTGTCTTTGGTTTTCTTCTTTCTCCCTTATTCCAGACTGCGTGAGACCAGTGGAGTATCTTAGATGGCCACTCGCAAGCTTTTAAGACCCCAGACGCTACTCACCAAAGCAGAATGTAGAACATTTTATTTACAAACTATGTTATGCCAATTGAGCTAGATGTTCCCCGAGACCATGGTCCCCACAACCCTCGGCCCAGCAATTCAGTCCCTCAGGGAATTTGGATGTATCTACGGAGCTTCCATGACGTTGCCTTGGACAAGTTGTGCTGGCTTCCCCAGTACTGTGTACTGTCTTACCCTTCACCAAAATTACCACTTATCTATTGTCTATTTACTGTTTTTCCATCCCCACTTCTCCCATCCCTTGTAACCATTAAAGATTGTTTCGTTTTGTGTGTAAACCTTTTCATGACTTTTTACAGTAGTGGTCTCATACAATATTTGTCCTTTTGTGATTAACTTATTTCACTCAGCATAATGCCTTTCAGATTCATCCACGTTATGAGATGCTTTGCAGATTCATCATTGTTCTTTAGCATTGCATAATACTCCATTGTGTGTATGTACCATGGTTTGTTTATCCATTCATCTGTTGATGGGCACCTAGGTTGTTTCCATCTTTTGCTATCTTGAATAATGCTGCAACGAACATGGGTGTGCATACGTCTATTCGTGTGACAGCTCATTTCTGTAGGATATATTCCTAGGAGTGGGACTGCTGGATCATACAGAATTTCTATTTCTAGCTTTTTAAGGAAGCGCCATATTGTTTTCCAAAATGGTTGTACCATTTTGCATTTCCACCAGAGTTCTAATCCCCCCGCAGCCTCTCCAACATTTGTTATTTTCTGTTCCTTTGACTCATGCCAGTAACGTCGGGGTGAGAGTCGGGGTGAGATGGTATCTCGTTGTGGTTTTGATTTGCATTTCTCTAATGTCTAGTGATCACGAGCATTTCCTCATTATCTGTTAGCAGCTTCAATGGCTGCAATCTTAAGGGAAGCAGATCACTGGGCCTTTTCTTCCATGGTATTGCTGGGTGGACTTGACCCACCAAGCTTTAGGTTAGCAGTCAAGTGCAAACAGTTTGTGCCAGCTAGGGACTTTTTATCTAATATACTTTACAAGGTACTTATTAATGTTTCCAATTTACTGTCTCATCTAAAATGTAAGTTCCGCAATGGCAGGAAGCTGTTTTATTCAGTGATGAATCTTAAGTGTCCAGAAACATCGTGAAAGACATAATTGGCACTTTAAAAAAACTTGTTGAATAGATGAATAAGTATCAGGGCTCTTAAATATACTTAGCCAATATGAGTTAAAAATTTAGATAGCTATTAGTTCTGGAGTTAGGGGGTGAAACTAGAACTATACACTGATATACAAAACTTAACAAAGTTAACTTTGAAAGCTGATGCCTCACTAGATACTTTCGGGTCTCTGAAGTCTCTCGCTTAGCAATGTTGCTTTTACAAAGAATATTTATATTAGAAAATCTGAGTTACCGGGAGACTGCAGAAGGAGAAGAGGAATTTTCAATGCAGCCATTAGGTTTGCCAGTTTCTGAGTCAAATGACCCTGTGTGGTAGTCAGCCTCCAGGAAGGTCCCCAATGATTGCTGCCTCCTGGTATTCACACCCTCTTATAGTCCCCCTCTTCCAACAATGAATCAGGGTTGATCTATGTGACCAGAAGAACGCTGAGGCAAGGCCATAAAGGAGATTGTGATTTCTGCCTTGTTCTCTTGGATTGGTTGTTCAGGGAGAAGCCAGCTGCCGTATCATGAGGACACTTAAACAGTACTGGAGGAGGCCTACGCTGGGATGAATTGATGCCTCCTACCAACTTGTCAGCTATGTGAATGAGTCACCTTAGAAGTTGATCAGATGACTGTGCCCTAACCAATATCTTGACTGAAACCTCTTAAGAGACCCCCGAGCCAGATACTTCCAGCTAAGCTGTTCCCAAATTCCTAACCCACAAACACTGTGAGAGATAATGAATGTTTACTGTGTTTTAATCCACTAAATTTTTGGGTAATTTGTTACACAACAATAAATAGCTAATATACTTTGCTGCTTCTAAGCACAGGAAAAATGATATACCATAGGAGTTAACACTTCTTTCTTACTTTTCTATGTAAATAGTAAATTCAGAAACGTACAAAATGAAATGGATATTATCACAGTCATTCAAATTTACTCTTTAAGTGTTTTATTAAAAAAAACTACTGGGCTAGCTGGACAGTTTCCGTCCCAGATATGGATAGCTTATACTTATGTAGAATCACTGCCTGAGCAAAAATTTAACCTCTCGGACATTCATCAAATATTTATTGAGTGCTTCCTTTCATCAAAAAATTTTGATTATTTGAGTAAGTAATATACGTACATGATATGAAATAAAAAGGTAAAATAGCATATGCAGTGTTTATCTTTTCAGAGATATTCTATGGCTATATAACATCTTTATAAGTAAATATACCCCCCTTTCCCCAATGAAAGAACACTATACACATTGTTCTGCACTTTGCTTTTTCCCTTAATGTATCTTAGAGATCACGCCATATCAGAAGAGCTAAAGCTACCCTGTAAGTATAGAAGCATCTAAACTTATTTATACCAGTTCACTACAGACAGATATTTAGACTGCCATCAATATTGTGCTATACCAATGTCAAGTTTCTATTACTGTCTACCTGGACTTATCAAGGTCCTAAATCCAAGCAATAAAGCCTCCCCTCCAAAGGCCTATGATAGACTCTACTACTTAAAGGCCATTTTGCCCCATCAATTTTTATTCCCTAATACCCATTGCTACTGATTCAATTCTGACTCATAGCGACCTTACAGGACAGAGAAGAACTGCCCCAAAGGGTTTCCAAGGAGCGCCTAGTGGATTCGAACTGCCGACCTTTTGGTTAGCAGCTGTAGCTCTTAACCACTACGCCACCAGAGTTTCCTTATTCCCTAATACTGAAATATATATGCAAGGATTTTAATCCTTAAAACAGTTGTACACTGAATGATTTTCATATAACATGATCAAGTCTATGACTAAACGAGTATGAAACCAGTTTTCTAGGTAAGGTTATTGTCAATTAAGAAAGCACATTATCACCTCTTGCTCTTTGGGCAACAGAACCTACTTCTGTGGTAAATTCAGAAGATACCAATACGTGGCACAGAATAAATAAACTCATACCTAGGGATATTAAAGGTATACTGAAAGCTTCAGAAATTAAAGATTAAAATGTCAATATTCACCTGTAATTGAAACTTAAGTAAATACATTCTAAAATTTACCTAGTTACATTTTTTTTAGCAGTTGATTTCCTTCAATCTAATGAAATCTGCCTCTTTTTTCTTTATACAATAAAAATTTATGGTTGTTTGGACAAATGATCTAGTTTTTACTTCCTTTTTCTTTACTTAATACATTGCTTTTGTTGAAAAAATAAAGGATTTTGCTTAAGTATTAATAATTTATAGTCACTTCTGTTATTCATCTTCTGTTGAAGCTAACAGTTTATTGTTCCACTTCTATCTAGCTATTTTCAGACTGCTTAAAACAGTATTTGCACCAGTTAGCCCAATATTACTTACTTGCCAAGTCCTGAGTTCAGAATTTTGTTTTCTTTCTGAGATGAAGAAAATATAAAGCACCTAAAGGTCAAGGAAAATGTTCTTCTTGTGAGGAGGAACCTGAAAATAAAAAGAAAGTTAAAGTGAGGAGATAGCCCTCACTGGTGTTATGTACATTAGTGCACAAAATTACTGAAATAAACCAAGGTATTCTAAAAAAACCACTATCCCAAACCATTCAGAAGGAACTATCAGAAAGAAGTTACTCTCCACCCACACTGGCATTAATTTTAAAAGATGTCAAAACTCTCGGAACAGCGGTTCCCTAGCTTGTATGGAACACTGTCACCTTTGAGAATCTGATGAGGCTATGGGCCCGCTTCTCCCCACAAAAATGTATAACTGTGCATGAAATCTCCAAAAGTTTATAGTTCCTTACTTAAGACCTTTGCTTTAGTGCACATTACCACTCCTTTCTGTTTGGCAGGTAGAGAGGAAGACTGTTTCACTTCTTTCCTGTCTCACTGTCTTGCTTTTCCGAGATGAGATGAAAAAAAAAACTCCTGACAAAAACCTTATTTAGAAGGGCTTCTTCAGCTGGTATTTTCAGCTCTGTTAAATCCTGGGCCAGCAAAGAGCGCACAATGTACCAGAAACATGCATTTTTTGTATTACGAAATGTCCATTCCAACTGAACCCAACTAAAGCCCCGCAGTTTTAAACAAGCTTCACCAATTAAGAAACCTAATAAGACAGGAACGCTTCCCAGAATTTAGCTACGAGACCTAATGAGGGGTTCTAACAATCCAAATTAGAAAAAAAGAAAACCCATTACAAAGCTCAACAAGAACCGAATACAAACGCCTGACAGTATTGACAGTGCGCAACCCCACCACATTACACAGTTATGTAATAACCCTATTTCCAAAAACCGCTTCTCAGTCCCTGTATAAAAAAATACTGCACACCGACTCCTTTAGCTCCAGATCAGACACACGAACAGCCGTGAATTCTAGAGACCTAACTCAGTCGAGATTAATGTACCATTAAGCAATTATCAGGACATACAAGGATAAAGCTGCTTTCTCGGATCAGCAAAGCTTGGGAGGTGGGAATGGGAACGAATAAATATAGCAGGGGTCGAAGAGAATGCCCACGACACACACTCTCAGATTAAAATCCCGGGGGGTGGGGCTTCTTACACTAAATCTCAAGGTCAACGAGCCAGGGACACAAAATACTCAGGGCCGCGACAGGCCTCGACTGATACCGGAGGCTCAGGCAATTGAGTAGGTACTAAACCGTAAAGCGAGGAACATACATAAATCAATAAAATAAAGATATTCTTAAAGGAAATAAGTCGACAGGCGACGCAGCTGCTGCCAGATATACACCGGCGTGGGTCCAATCACTGGAGAATAAGCCGAAAGCACAAAGGCGGCAAAAACCAGGCTTCAGAGAAAGGCAGTGGAGGGCCGAGAAGGGAGCGGGGTGCACGACACCCCTCGGAAGGCGGTGGGGGCCGCCCCTGGGGTGGCGGGGGAAGGAAACGCCCGTCCGGCGGAGGCCCGGCCGGCTAGGGGAAGGCTCCGCGCGCTGCCGTTCCCCCGACCGAGCTGGGCCGCGCCACCACCTCACCGCCTGCTCGTCCCCCCTCGGAGACTTTCTCGGCTTACCCCCACAGTCCATCAGACGCACTCGACCGCCCGGGGTGGGCCCGCCCCCGGCCCCAAGGCCGGCTCCCCAGGGTGCCCCTCACTCCGCCATCTTCGCTCCTTCTCAAGTCGACCAACCCTGCAGCGGGCCGTTTCCACAAACCCCGCCCCTCCCGCGGCCGTTGAGTCCTGATTGGACAGTGACTTGCCAGGGCGCACTTTCCTTCCGTCGTACATTGGTTGGAATGTGCGTCAATCAATAGAGCTAGACCCACTATTTCGATCTCGTTTTCTGTCTGATTGGGTCTAGGATAGAGGTAACAGAGAAAAGCGCTTTTGTAAGTCATTCGTTAGGAATGTAAAACTACTTCTGCGTAGAAGCAGTGTCATATAGTAGTCGAATAGTCTAGCCAGACCCCATGACTTCTTAAACTCACTGTCAGATTAAACTACAGTATTAATAGTATTAATTCCATTCTCAGGGCCGGGGGCTTTTAACCCCGGGTATAAGACAACAATTAGGCAAACAATTTAATGACTCCAGTTTGTTATCTGGCTTTATGTCACCTACCTCGACTCATAAAGGGCCCAAACGTCGGACTCCTGCTTCCAGCTCTAGCCACTTTTCTTTTAGGGCCTTAGATTTCACTTCTCTTTCACGGCCCTTCTGCCAGGTGCCAAGCTGTTATAACGGGCTATTTCGTTGTTACCTACCCTCAACTGTAGGGCTGCAAGGTCCTTTCTTCAGTGATGGCTCCAGGAGAGGCAGAGATGAGACAGAACCGCCACAGTGCTATATTCCTTACCTGGCTTCCTCCCCTACAGTGTTGTATTGCAAAATTGTTTCCTTTACTGGGCTGCTCCCCTTCAGCTTTGCGTTTGAATCCTGGTTTTGCTTGGCGGTTGTATGTAACTCCATTGTGCCTGCGTAGTATGATTAAGAATGTTGCTGATGTAACTTGTATGAACTCCCTACTTGTAAACCCGTTTAAAAGTAACTTACCTGCCCACTCTTGGAGAGCAGTCTTGGCAGCAACAGCTCCGACTGACTCCATTTCCTTGTACAACAAAATAAAGATGCTTTTCTTGTTCTCCCACCTCGATCTCTCATTTATTGGCCAATACGAGTCATGCTGAGTAAGATCCTGGGCTTTCCACCAGTGACAGAGAGTTAAGGTAACTGGAGTGGGTTGCTTTCCAGGTTGCAAAAAGCGTCCCCAAGGGAGCCATGTAGGTCCACAGTGCTTCCCAAACACCCTTAAGGCAGTCATCAGGGCTGCTTCTTAGAAATACAGATTCCTAGGCTGCACCTCCCGGACATTCGATTCCCTAAATCTTTGGACGAGGCCAAGGAATCTGTAATTTTACAGAAGGTGGCGCAGAGGTTAAGAGCTCAGCTGCTAACCAAAAAGTTGGCGGTTTGAATTCACCAGCCACTCCTTAGAAACTCTATGGGGCAGTTCTACTCTGTCCTATACAGTCGCTATGAGTCGGAATCGACTCGGTGGCAGCGAATTTGGTTTGGGGGCATATACGAAAAACCTGCACTTCACATCACACTTAATGGTGAAAGACTTCATACTTTCCCACTTCTGTTCAACCTTATACCGGAGCAGGTAGCCAGTGCAAAAAGGCAAAACAAATAAGAGGCATCCAAATAGGATGAAATAAAACTGCCTTTATTCTCAGAGGAGTTGCTAGGTGGTGCAAAAAGTTAGCAGCCCAGTGCCTTAACCGGAAGTTTGGAGGCACCTTGGAAGAAAGGCCTGGCAATATACTTCAAAAAAAATCAGCTATTAAAAATCCCATGGAGCACAGTTCTACTCTGACACACATGGGGTCGCCCTAAGTCTGAATCAACTGGAAAGCAACTGGGTTTTATTATTATTATTTGTCATAGACACGCTTCTCTATGTAGAAAATCCTAAAGAATACACATACAAACCTACTAGAACAAATAAGTTTAGCCAAGATAACAAGATACAAGATCAATATACAAAAATCAACTGTATTTCTACACACTGACCATGAATAATCAAAAACTGAAATTAAGAAAACAACTCCATTCATCATAGCATCAAAAAAAAATAAAATACTTAAGAATAAATTTAACAAAACAAGTACAAGACTTATACACTGAAGACTACAAACATTGCTGAGGGAAACGAAAGATCTAAATAAATGGAGAGACATTCCATTTTCATAGGTTGTTGTTAGGTGCTGTTGAGTCAGTTCCAACTCATAGCAACTCTATAGGATGGAGTAGAACTGCCCTATGGGGTTTCCAAGGAGCAGTGGGTGGATTAGAACTGCTGACCTTTTGGTTAGCAACCACAGCTCTTAAGCACTATGCCACCAGGGCTCCTGGTTGGAAGACTAAATATTGTTGAGATGGCAATTCTTCCCAAGTTGATCTGTAGATTCAATGCAATCTCTATCAAAATCTCCACACTTTTTTTTGTGTAGACATTGACAAAATGATCCTTGAGTATATACGGAAATCCAAAGGACCTAGAATAGTCAAAACCATTTTGAAAAGGAACAAAGTTGGAAGGATTACCCTACCTGATTTTAAAGCTTACTACAAAGCTACCGTAATCAACACAGTGTTGCATTGTTATAAGGCTATAGGCATATAGATCAATAGAACAGAACTGAGAATCCAGGGGGAAAAAAAAAACCTCTTACATTCATGGTCAATTAATTTTAGACAAAGATGCCAAGATAATTCAATGAGGAAAGGGTAGACTCTTCAGTACAGGATATGTGCAGAACCGATTGATATTGAGCTTGATTCTTAAAATATTAAAGTACTCCACACTTGCTCAAGAGTGGCCATTGTCCCAAACCCCTCTCAGAAGTAGCCATTGCCCCTCTCTTGCCTCACTCTTTCACTCAGGATCGTCCTATGCTTACCCTCCATCCAGCAACTGAAGGGTTTACTGCCTGGCATAGGAGAGGGCCTCCAGGACCTGCATTCTGATTGGTCAGTGCAGCACTGGTTGTAAAATATTTTGCCTGTCTCTCTTGGAAGCAGGCAACTAAAGAAGAACCGAAAACATAAAACATTGTCATCTGGGATGATACAGACTGCTTCTCATTTATTTCCCCTTCGTTAACAACCAACCCCCCCCACGTTTAAAGATTGTATACTAGTGTGTGTTCCTGAAAAAAATATTGTGTCTAAATTCTCATTTCTATAAAATACTGTTACCTTTACCAGGAGAACCTGCTATTTAAAGAAGTATTAGAAACTAACAGGCTCTTAGAGCAGACAGGGACTCCAGGTCATCCAGGTAAACCTCTGTTGAAATTTAGGAATTCTGCCAGATGTCTGACAAAAATGGTCATTTAACAGTTTGCTTAAAGCACATCCTGTAACCAAGGGTCTGGGAATACACGAGTTTTAGGGATATCTTGTATCTCATTTGAACAATTATTTAAAAATTCTTCCTTAGAATAAGCTGAAGTCTGTCAGCCTACAACTCCCACCCATTAAAACACAATGCTTAGTATGCGTTGGGCACTCATATAATCCTCACAGCAATGTATGAGATTGGTATGGTTATTATCATCATCATAATCCTCATTTTACACTTGGGGAAAGGGCACAAAAGGGTTATGTGAATTGCTCCAAGTTCATGTGGCTGGTTAAGTGGCAGAACGAGGATTTGAACCCATCCAGTCTGTTTTCAATGTCCTTAAATTCTACATTATACTACTGTCCTCTAGAAAAAGAACAGTCTTTCAGGAACAAGTCCTCAGCTATCGAAGCACAGCTACCAAGTCTTTGTTTACTTTTCTTTTCTCCAGATTAAAGCCCTTGTTCCTACAACTACCTAAAAAAATAACTTTCCTTGGATCCCCTCACCATTCTGCTTCTTGGGAATACATTATTTTTGTCAATGTTCTTCTTAAAAGGTGGTGGTTTTCAAACCTGCGATAGGTTACAATACACAGATATCTCTTGCTTGCTGTCTCTTTTTAGCCTAAATACAGAACTTTACATTTGTCCCTGTTAAAAGTCTAGATTGCTGAAGAATGAAAACATTAAGAGCATGGGCTCTGAAATCAGAATTCCTGGGTTCGAATCCAGACTAACTAGCTATGTGACCTTGATCTTGAAAAAAAAGTCATTTAATTTCTCTGTACCTTAGCCCTCTTACCTGTTAAATGAATAACTGTACTTGCTTCCTATGGTTGTTGTGGAGACTAAATGAGTTAACTTATGTGAAGCACACAGAACAGTGCCTGGCATATAGTAAATGCCACATAAATGTTAGCCATCCTTCTAGGTCTATATCATTGGGTTGTTTTTCTTCATGAGAAAAAGTCATATATATTAAATTTTTGTTATACATTTATACTAAAAATACACATTTAAAAATATAAATATACATTTTTATTACAGTATAATAAAGGAGCCCTGGTGGCACAGTAGTTACATGCTTGGCTGCTAACCAAAAAGTCAGTGGTTCAAACCCACCAGCCTCTCCACAGGAGAAAGATGTGGCAGTCTGCTTCTGAAAAGATTGCAGCCTTGGAAACCCGATGGGGCAGTATTACTCTGTCCTATGGGGTCATTATAAGTCAAAATTAACTAGATGGCACACAATATAATATACTTCTGCTATAAGCCCTAATAAGTGTAAAACAATAAAACCACACGTTTATAATCTGTCAGTAATACTTTTGTGTATATAATAAAACAAATAAGCAAACAAAAAAACAAACTCAATGCTGTTGAGTTGATTCCGTCTCATAGGACAGAGTAGAACGGCCCCATAGAACTTCCAGGGAGTGGCTGGTGGATTCCAACTGCCAACCATTTGGTTAGCAGCCAAATGCTTAACCACTGTGCCACCGGGGCTCTGTGTATATAATAAGCATCCTGAACTTATCAATTTTTTTAGATGAATGTGAATTAGTTTTATTTCTTTATTTAAATAATATTTTATTGTGTTTTTGGTGAAGGTTTGCACAGCAAATTAGGCTCCCATTTGACAATTTCTACACAAATTGTTCAGCGACTTTAGTTCCATTTTTCACAATATGTCAATGTTCTCTTTAATTGTGTTCTGGTTGTTCGGTTTCCAGTACTCTCGTTTCCCTGCCCCCTTATCTTCTCATCTTTGCTTTAGAGTAACTG